TAAAGCTGTCATTGAAGTAATAGAACAAAAATCAAACCTATTGGAAAAGAAAAGTTTAGCATTGTCAGCAGATAATAGGGTAATAGAAAGCCGTACAGCAGTATCATCATAGAACATTGGCAATGATGGACATTCAAATCCATTCATAAGGCAGTGTTTGAGTTCAGCTAGTGGCTGCCCAAAGCACTAGCTATTAACCACATATGACTTAAGCATGTGTGACCAATGGTTGAAAATCTAATTTAATGTTAATTAATTTAAATACTGTGTGGATAGTGGCCACTATATTGAAAAGCAAAGTCCTAGGGAATTAATTAAAATTGCTTAGGTTTAAAAGGAACACCCAGCCAAATAGCAGATATAATATCAATATTTGCTAAATGACTTTTTTCATACACCATCATTAAGCAATTGAAATTCTAATTTTAACTTTTTCCATTTATTTCATTAAGATAGTAAAAACTTATATATTATAAACTAAATAAAATAATTCTCTTAGAACTATTAAAACTTAGCTGAGAATTTTGAGACTTGAATAAATGAAGAGAAAGATGTATGTAGAATATTTTAAATATACCAGTTTCTGCTGATTTATGAATTTAAGAACATATAAATCAAAAGTGCAATGGGATAATTCTTGGGAATTAATTCAATTTTTTTAAAAGTTGACTTATTGTAGACTTGTACCTTGCATTACATTGTACCTTTTCTGCAGGAAGATTACAAAATCCCATACTTTCTGGATTTAGAGAGTAAAATATAGGCACAGAAAGCATTCTAGAAGCCACCTCTGTTTCTTTTTTCTGAGACTGAAATCTGAGATATTCCAGAGTAAAAATATCCAGAACAGATTCAGCTAATCCTGAATAGACATGTGGTATGAACAAGAAATGAACCTCGGCTATTGTAAACCTCTGAGATCAACAGAAATATCTATCATGATTTCCTTTATTAGACTGGAGAGATGGGCACTGAACATCAGAAGTGTGAGCCCTTGCAATTAAAGAGAAGAAAAAAAAAAGGACTGAAATCTGCAGATTAATTAGCCATGGTGGCTGGTCTTTGCGGTGGCAGCCAGAAAATCTAGTGCATAGTGGCAAATTTAGCTGTAGTTCAGCTGGCATTGTTATCCCACAAGATGTAATATATTGGAAGAAGTCAAAATGATAGCCAAGACTTGAAATTCAATGGAGGGCAGGAATATGTTCCAGCTAAACTATACATTCAAAATAAAACTAGTGATAGGCAAAGTAATGTAGGATAGTTAGAGTTAAACTGGCATAAAAACCTTGAAGACTACATAGTTAACCTATAGGCTTGCTGTTGTCTGTGGTCCAATTACTCTTAGTACTTGGATTTAATCAACAAAAATAATGCTAGATAATAACAGCTGGTGGGCTGAAGAAGCTAATGGACTAAGTCATTGCTTTCTGCTGGAGATGATATGTCTGAGCATATGTAGATTGACTCAGAATTCCTGGAGGGAAAGCCTTGGCAAATGTTAATAGTAAGAGGAAATAGCAGGGGAAAGATTTCACATTTGCAAAGGTAGCGTAATAAGAGACTTGAACTACATTAGTTTTATTTAGTACTAGAGGTCCAGCACACGATTAAATCGTGCAGATAGAGTCCCTAGGCCTAGCCTCCTGCAATCAGGGCCATTTTCTGCCCGTTCTCCAGTTCCCAGGCCCTATGCCACCTCTACTGCTGGGTGCCATTGGGATTACCAACTCATCCCTGGCTGCTGCGGGGCTCAGGCCTGGGGGAAAGCAGGCGCTGGAGACTTCACCTCCATGCACTTGAGGCCAGCCGCTGATTGAACACTCTGCATGCTCAGGACCACTCAGCAGGCACTGCCACCGCTGCTGCCACTGCTGCTGGGGCTTGATGTGCTGACGGAGGCTACGGGGTACGTCCTGCCCATCTGGCATGAGTGGCCCCGAGCGGGCAGCATGTGGCCAGACTGGCACACGTACATGAAGGTGAGGTTGCCCACAAGCCTGAGCCCCCAAGCAGCTGGGGATGAGCTGTTGATCCCAATGTGCTTACAGCCAGCCCAGTTCTCCTGCCACTCATCCCAATTCTCCCATTTACCATTGAAGCCTGCGGGCCAGGAGGGGAAGGTACCGAAAGGTCAACAGTTCAATCTGCTTACCAGTTGCTAGTCTCCAGTCCCTCCCCGACTTGCGGGCAGGAGGATGGGGAGGGGACCGAGAAGTCGTCAGTGCCACCTCATGGTCATCAGTCGTTTGGTCATTTTGGTCATAATGCCTCTTGGCCATTTATTATGATGATTGGTGAATGCAGGATACATTTCATTATTGTTGTTTTCATATTATAATGGATGTGATGATGAGATTCAGGACGTTAGGTAGGGGCATAACTAATATTTACAGCTCAGCATGTCATGATTTTGAAAGACATACTTGGACCCATACCACGAAGCATCCACAGCTCATATATTGAGAAAGGCCAAAGGTGAATGTTCTCAACATACTTTTACATAATGTCATTTGACTACAGAGATTGGCTGTACATTTATTAGAGAGTCTGTAGTGCTTTATGGAATTATAATGAGTGGATTAGTGAACCCTGTGTATGGACAGTCATCTAGATGCAGATCATAATAGTCTGTATCACATACCTTTCAGTGAATTCAGAGGGAGGACTTCTTTGTCATCGAGGTGGGAGGCATACTGGATGAATGCACAGATTGCCCTTTAACCTGTCTTCTCAAAACTGCAATATGTATTCATGAAATTAGGATTGAACCTGTCACTCTGAAGAAAAAGATGAAAACCTATGGATCCTTAAAAAGGAGCTTAAGAACTTACATTATAGTAAAACTATGCCTGGTTCTTTGAAGGCATTAAGCTGCAGAAGAGTATGCTGACTGCAAACGTGAAAGGAGGACAACCAGGTGTACACAAGGAGATTGAAATGCCGGTTACAGAAACAAATGACTTCAAAAGGGATTAAGTTAAGACATAAAAAGCGGAGGAATCGGTGCTGCTCAGGTTGTTGGAAGTGGTGAACGTTTCCTTCAGTAATGTGTCAGCCTAAATGTAGCTTAAGCTTAAGCTGTTTCAGGCAAAATGGATACTAATAATCACTGTTCTTTAGAGTGGTAGCTCAGATGTTAGTGAATGACTTCTGTATCAGTAAATACCCTGGAGGCTCTCAAGTTTCATCCCCTTGGTGTTCTGCAAAGAGGTTGGCAATTGGTTAAGCTTTCTTTAGGTGGCATGTGCATGTTTAATATTTATTCAGAGATTTGCCCAAAATATCACAAGGAAATAATCTCTCAAATCAAAGCTATCCAGCAGAAGAACAATAAAAGTTAAAAAATCACACCTTTTTAAGTGCAATTAATATTTATGGAGTACTGATTATCTACTAAGCACTAGAGTAATTGCTAGGCAATAATAATTCATGCCCTTGTTGATCTTAGAGTCTAGTTTTTCAAATAACCACATACATAAATGGAAGACTGTGACTATGGTAAGGACAGTGAAAAAGAGAGAGTGCTTATGGGACCATTTTAAATTGATCTTATCAGGTGATTAGGGAAGGTGTCCTTAATGACAGTTTTCCTTCTTGGATCTCCTGAAGGGTGAGTTAGTGTTAACTAAGAGAAAAAGTTTACCCACTGCGGGGCATGATATGTGCAAAGGTTTTGTGAAACAGCAGGGAGCAGAGTAGAGAGCTTAGTACAGAAAGAGACTAGAGAGTAGGTAGAGACCAGACAATGCCATGGTCATATTTTTTATTTAGACTACCCAACGTGGTTGCCACTAAGTAATGTGCTTGTTTAATATGAATATAAAGTGATTGAAATTAAATTAAGAATTTATTTCCTCAGTTGAATGGCCATATTTCAAGTGCTCACTTGCCACTGTGGCTATTAGTTACTGTATTGGAAAGTTCAGAGAACATTTCCATTTATGCAGAAAGTTCTACTGTATTGCAGTCTTGGAAATTAGCTTTATTTCAGGAGTGACAGGAAGTCACAGAAGGATTTTCTTCAACTTTGCAGTATGGAGTGACGTGATCAGAAGAACCATTTTGAGAAGAACTTAATGGTGATAGAATGGGGACGAATTTGGCTGGGGAAAAAAATCATATTGCAGTTAGGTAGGCCACTTAAAATGCTATTGTAAAACTAAGAAAAAAGTTACAATAGATGCAGATGAGAAAAGTGGACAGATTGCATGAATTTAGAAGCGAAAATAGACAAGAATTAGTGATAAGTAAAATTTAGGAATTGAAGGAGACATTTTTGGCTTTCACAGTTTTTTGATGATGGTTTCATTCATTGACAGGAGGGACAGTAGAATAGGGTCTGATCTATACAGGGGATGCTTTGTGCAAAGGTCCTGGGCAATCCAAGAAGTCAAGAAGCAACAGGATATACTAAACCTTACTTTCATACTTCTCAGCCATCTCACAACTCGTTCTTTTAACAGACCATGCAGCTTTCAGCAAGGCTCTGTGGTGTGATAGAGTTAAATTTAGGTCACACTCCTTGTAAGAACTGGACATTTAATTGACTGGAAAGGTGACAGACTCATATTTTGAGTGCTAAGAGGGATGCCATAGATCCCACAATGTGCTTTCATTATTTTTTGGATATAAAGACCAAATGCTGAGGAGTTCCCATGATTTGTTGGTTAATGGCAGAGAAAGTTCTGTTTCTGCAACTATTTTTTTTCCTGCTTACACCAAGTTACTTCCCCAGGGTGAGAGAAGTAAGACTTTTCTGGACTAAAACTTTGTAGTAAGCAGTTGTATGAGAAATATCTGTGGAATTGCCTAGCCCAAAGGCAGGCAGTATAGAAGTCTGCTTTATCATGAAGGAGGGGAAGATGCTCACTAGGTTTCTTGGCACAACTTTAAAAGTATATTTCTTCAACATTTCTTGATACTATAGCAATATATTTTGATGCTATCTATGAGTTGCTCAAAGAATTTAAAAGCAGTTTTAAATTTTCTTAGCCGCAAAGAACTTGTCAAAGACTGCTGAACAGCTATGAAAATGTGGAAACAAACACCCCTGGTGAATGAAAAAGCTCACCAATTTGGAACAGGTTTCAAAAGACAAAACTCAGCATTTCTTGTTGAGGTAATATATTCCTGCTGTTTCATTCTGTTCTCTCATTCTCTTGCTTTATTTATTATTTCCATTTGCTTAGGTAAACTGAAAATTTCCATTAGATCCCAATATTTTCTTAGGGTGAGTATAAAATAAAATTTACTTACCTGAATAACTAATTAATTACAAATGTAATTAAGAAAGATTAATGATATGTAAAACAAGTTTTTGCAAACTTATTTTAAAGGGAATGATGATCTACACTCAATTTAAAACAAATATTTTCAATTTAAAATATCTTGTTTTTTTCATTACATATTTTGAGAGGAAATAGAATCTTTAATGTGTATTAAAACAAAATATAATTGAAATTAATTCTTGCATTTATGTAAGTACCCAAAACATGTGGTGCTTTTTTCTAAGTAAGCTGCTTAACTGTCTGGTGACATACAAAAACAATGCCAGCTCTTTTAACTACTTAAAATATAAAATGTGGCAAAGTGAGTTTGTGATAAGAATTTATTTGATAAGAGCTGAGAAAGGAGTTAATGGTTTCTGTTGAATATTAATCAATTAAGCGTAACTATAGAAACACATATCATGGCATCAGTACTGTAAATATATGTATGTCAATTGTGACTGAATATTATTCTACAGCCATAAATATTTAAATAAATGATCAGTGATTAATGTTAACATGACTGAGAATGACATTTATGCCTCCATTGCTGACAAATTTGATCATTCCCAAATATTTTATGTGTCACAAATATGAAGGCTGGAATTCACATTTCTGTTTTAACTAAAATAAAAGAGAATTTGAAATTTTCAGAAATTAAACTTTGGAAAAATAATTTCAACCTTAACAGGACAGGTAAATTTAGAAGTGATAGTTTTATTTCTTATTATTCTTAGCATGGCATATATTACAGAGAGTCCCACCCCCAAAAAAGAAAGTTAAGTTTATATGGTATAAGGTAATAAATGCTATATACTGCTACTTTCATTATATATTTTACAAATTTGATGTAAAAGTGGGAAATGTACTCATGGAAGTCATTGGTTTTATATAAACTTGACCTTTGCCAAAGAAACATGCTTTGAAAAGTAGAAATGTACCCAGCTAGGTAATAGGCATTAGTCATTAAAATTAACTAAATTTTCAGGTAAACACTAATTCTCTTGATTCTATAGCTAGGAGTTAATTCAGTAGAATGGTTATCATCAATTCCAATCCTTGGGGTTTTTAATTGTTCTGTTCAAATAAAAAGCTTTATGCCAGCTTTTGTTACCACCCAATTAATTCTCAAAACCAATTAAGATAAAATCATACATAATAATTTCCTACTTATTACTAAGAGCATACAATTTTGCCTCCATCACTTAGTTTTTTGACCCACCATTGACCATCCTGATTAGTGGAACTCCAGTACTCTGTGCTTCTTTGCTTATTAGCATTAACAGATATTCGGAAAGAGACACCCACTTCAATTTGCTAATTCATATCGACACTGCACATTCTCTATAATTTGAATAGCTCCATAATTGCTTGTCTTTGAAGATCTGACTTCACATTATTTGGTTTTTTAACATTACTTTCGCTTGAGAACATGATACTAACCCAGTGTGATGTAATTAACATGACTGTTGGCCAGTTATCATTGTTGTTCATATAAAATTTCTGAGAATGTAAGCCTAACCATTAGAAGAAACATTTTTATTTAAGTTTGTAAAATCAAGTGTATAAATTATATATCTTATTAATTTTTATTTGGACAGTTGATTATTGTATTCCTCACTTTGGATAACATTTATACATTTTTAGAGACCAAATCAAGTCTTTTTTTTTAATTATAGAGTAATAGGGGATCAGAAAAAAAATGTTATAAATTGTATTTGATGATAATATTTTTCCATACACATTATTTATAACTATGTAAATTTAAATTTACTGCAACATCATTGTGAAGTTTAATGCTGAGATATTTTTGTCCTCTAAATTTAAAAATAGTAAAGTTTATGTCAGGAAATTAACAATATTTAAATGTATTTTAATGCTTCATCATTATAACTAAATTCAGTTAAAGTATTTTAAATATGTATTTTAAAGATAAAAAAGTAATCAATTTGTGTTTGTGCAAAACTCTGGTGTAAACCATAAATGTTATTAGCTCTATGAAATTAATTTGTCAGCTTAACACACAAAATGTCAGCAAATTAATTCATTTTACAATATATCCATGTTTATAATGCTTCACTAGTGAGATATTTCTGAGTTCCGACTAGATGTGCATATAAGATATCCCATGTATCTAATAAGCTTTTCCCAATAACAATAGCAATAGTCTAAATCAGTGATCTTAATAGGAAAGGGGAACATTTCTATAATTTTATGAAAGATATACTAAAGGGGAATTAAAGATGTGGCTTGACTTTGAAATGTCCTCTTTGAAGCTATCACATATTTTCTTCATGTTGCATACATAATGTTCATTTTTTTAAAATATATTTTATTGCTTTTTTTACAGAGAGGAAGAGAGAGAGAGAGAGAGTTAGAAACATTGATGAGTGAGAATCATGGATCAGCTGCCTCTTGCACTCCCCCTACTGGAAATGTGCCCACAACCAAGGTATATGCCCTTGACCAGAATCGAACCCGGGACCCTTCAATCCGCAGGCCAATGCATACATAATGTTCTTGCAATTTTAGTATTATAATTAAAAATTAAAATAATTGATCAAATGTTGATGAAAAACTACAATTCTTTTTCTAGCTCTGTAATTTAAATACTGTAGGTAAAGTTTGACAAATGAGATGTCAATGTCTCTAGTCACCAATCATGCAAAAATTGAAGGAGCAGGCACAAAATTGGTTAAGAAATTAGCAAAGGGTTAAAGGCAGAGTAAAATCACCGAGTCTTGGAATTAATAGGTTATACAGTTAAGTAATAGGTTAAAATAACAAAAACTATGAACAAAAGACAGCCTCTATTTTCTTAAAGATTTAGGCATTTGTTTATAAATGAAAAATCAGGTGTGGTTGAAGGAGGGGGGAGGTGAAAGAGGGAGATGGTAGTGGAGATATTTAAAATGTAAAGGTGCTTGAGAGTAATCTTACTCTCAGGTAATAAGCTACTTTCTTAACTTTGTGCACATACTGGTGTTTGTTTTAAAAATGTATATTCTGCCAGACTGATAAATTCATCTCAGTTGGAAAAAAAAAAAAATGAGTCAGACTATGCTGTTGGGTTTTTTTGTTTGTTTGTTTTTTGGTGTTTTTTTTTTTTACTGAAACTGCCAGCTGCCCTCAAAGTCTTGAGTTGAGAAGTAGGAAGTTAAACAGCTTAAAATAAATCCAGGTATTGTTTCTTAACTCAAAGTGAAGATAAAATATGAAACAGAATTTCAATGATATCAACAGAAACAACAATCATAAAACAATTTTAGACAGCTGAGAATAAATTCTAAAATAGAAATCTGGAACTCCATCATAACTGTGACTTTTAACTACATTTGATTTAACTTTGATCAACTCAGAAGAGGCATCTTTTAAAAGTAAATTTTATCTGAATTTGCAGCCAATTTTTCACTTGGATACATTTCACTTACAAAGACATTAATACATTTTTTTTTAATTTTAAAAAATATATATTTTATTGATTTTGTACAGAGAGGAAGAGAGAGAGATAGAGAGCTAGAAACATTGAAGAGAGTCATTGACCAGCTGCCTCTTGCACACCCCCTACTGGGGATATGCCAGCAACCAAGTCACATGCCCTTGACAGGAATCGAACCCGGGACCTTTCAGTCCCCAAGCCATTGAGCCAAACCAGTCTCGGCGACATTAATACATTTTTAAAATAATGTTTTAAATGACCCTCGTGATTTTGTTTCCTTTATAGAGTAAGAACACACATGCCTTGCCCACAGTTGCAATTTTTTAAAGCCTTCCCATTTAGAATTAGAAATGAAGGAATCTCTTTTCCTCGGTCTTGTTTTTTTTTTTTTTTTTTTTTTTTTTTTTTTTTTTTTTAATATATTTTATTGATTTTGTACAGAGAGGAAGGGAGAGAGATAGAGAGTTAGAAACATCGATGAGAGAGAGTCATTGATCAGCTGCCTCTTGCACACCCCCTACTGGGGATATGCCCACAACCAAGGTACATGCCCTTGACCGGAATCGAACCTGGGACCTTTCAGTCCCCAAGCCGACACTCCATCCATTGAGCCAAACCGATTTCAGCTTGGTTTGTTTTTTAACTTTGATACTTTATAGGCTCCACTTTAATTTAAAAAGATTTAGAATTCAATACTCAAGAGAGATGCTGAAAAAAAGCATCCTTCTGGTAATGCTACCTTATCTACATTACAGAATTCACAATAAAATAATAAAGTATATTTAATGAATTTATAACAGTGCATGTTTTAGGTTATTTTCCTGTGATAAAGGGGAGTTGGAAAACTCCATTTCCCTCATACTCAATTGACAGATAATAGTGCCTGAGAAATTAACAAGTGTTTTTAACTACCATGTTTTATTATAATTCAAGTTGAAAATACTTTTTGATAAATGACTGGAAATAGAAGAATAAGCCATACTGCAATGTCAAATACTCTAACCTTTCCATGCTTTGGAAAACCATGCTAATCAGAGAATATCTTGGATTTTTACCATAAAATAAATAAAACATAGCTTTGTGAGGTTCTATTATATCTAAATTCAATATGTGGTTTTAAGAAATTGCTCTAAAAAGTTTTTGAAAGGTTACCACATGGAGGCCAAATAATTGGTGAAATAAAATACTATAAAGTACACAATAAAAATAGTTTTGTTGACCTTCTTGAATCTATTACTGATGGAGTACTCGGCAAATCTTGTTAAAGGCCTTTGCAGGGAAAACTTTCTTCTTTAAATTCATTTACTAACCACCTGTCCCAGTAGGATAACACAATAAAACTATTTCCTGGGAATTCAATGTAAATTGAAGAGAACCAAAGACCTGGTCTCCCACCAATTGCTTTGAGTGGGGAAATGAGAAGGGCCTAAAGACTACAAAATTTATATTTCATCCAACTCTTATGTTTTGTATTTCTGTTCATTTTAAATAGAGGCATGTTTTTCTTATCTATGTGAAGGTATAGATGTGAACTAAAACACAAGGAAAATTATAATTTCAAAATAGATAACAGTTAATACATAACTGAGAAAATGTCACAAGACACATACATATAGTTTATCTTAAAAATCTCTTCTAAAAATTATAATATTTGTAAATCATCTTTTCAAAAAAAAAACTGTATTGAATATGAGCTCAAACGTTTAGTATAAAATGAAGGAAATGGTAGAAAATGTCATGTTTATGAATTCTCTACAGAAAGTCATTATTGTTTAGGCACTAATCTTGCTTCTCCCACACCACGAAGTACACTATTTTTTAATGAAATTATTAGATGTACCACAAAGTAGATGGAAACTTTGAACATAAATAAATAAATAAATAAATAAATAAATAAAAAACTGCCAAAATTTTGAAGAGGAAAAAAAATCCTCATGTACCTAAGAAATTAATTATAATTATTGATTGTCAGTGGTAAGAAAAATATGTTTCTTCCATCATTTATTCAAAGCTGCCAAAACTATATTATAGGAGACATTGGTAAAAAATAAGTATATTTGCAATTTAAATAACCCAAAATATTTCATTTTCAGTTGTTCTCCTTTTATTTCTTGGGCAAATTCATTCCCCTTTTCAGTTTGGCTGTATTGATTGCTCGCCTTCATAATGTACTTTTTAGAATGATTTAAATGCATTTCCTTAAAACGGGGGTGGTGGGGAGAGATAAATGGAATTTTTATAAAAGCCCACATACATTGGTATGTTTTGACATGCAATTCTTCACTCAAATTTATTATATTTTTATTTCAAATTATAAGCTTTAGAACT